CGTAGTAACGACACAAACGTATGTCACTAAGCACAAACTATAACTTCACAGCAAATTTTCTCCTCCTGTCACTTTGGCCCAAATTGAGGTTATGTGGGCCCCTCTTGCTTTCAGGAGGCTAACTAAGGTTTGCTGTTTTCAGTATTTTGCCACCACTAGCAGATCTCGATAAGAACAATTTACACGTCCGAAGCCACTTGTTAAATTCACAAGCCGAACTAATTATAGGTTTGTTGTTTTTCAGAGTTTCACTACCCCTAAAAAATCTAAATAGTTCGCCAATAGTTTGCCCTCTGATTCACACTCTCCAGTTTCAAATTGTTTAGAATCAAGTACTATGAAAAGTTACTATAGTTTGGTAATTTTTCTAAAACGATATATCGATACCTCGATAATACGAGTCGTACATCAAGTGCCAGGTGCCACGAGGCAGACACGGCCAATGTCACCGGACACTTCTTTACGTATATAACAAAATATAGCTAATAACTAACTGTTTATTAACCTCAATTTTAATTAACTATTCCGGTTCAACACCACAACACATCAATAAGTCAGTTTATCATTTAAATCTCACAAATGTCTTGAGTGACACGCAGCGTGGTGGCGCCACAAGACAATATCCCTAGGCGTCAACCTAACCTCAAATGCCACACAGCAGAGACAAAGAGATGTCACTAGGCACTTCTTTAACAATATTTAACTAATTACCGAAAATCGGCATTATTTATATGTCTCTATTAACACAATCGAATCACTTCTTGTTAATTTCCACACCACGACACTTCAATAAGTCAGTATATCATCAGAATCTCAAAATCTCACAATCTCACAAGAGTTTAGAGTGCCGCGTGGCGTGGTGGCGCCACAAGACAAAATTACTAGGCGTCAACCTAACCTCAAATGTCACCCGGCTGAGCCAAGGCAATGTCACTAGACGCTTCTTTAACGATATTTAGTTAATTACCGATAATAAGTATTATTTATATGTTTCTATTAACGCAATCGAATCACCCCTTGTTAGTTTCCACACCACGACACTTCAATAAGTCAATTTATCATCAAAATCTCAAAATCTCAAAATCTCAAGTGTTTAGAGTGCCACGTGGCGTGGTGGCGCCACAAGACAATATCCCTAGTCGCCAACCTAACCTCAAGTGCCACGCGGCAAAGACATAGACAATGTCACTAAACACTTCTTTAATGATTTTTGATTAATTACAGATAATAGGCATTAATTGTATGTCCCTATTAGCACAGTCGAATCACTTTTTATTAATTTCCACACCACGACACTTCAATAAGACAGTTTACCATCAAAATTTCAAAATCTCACAAGAGTCTAAAGTGCCACGTGGCGTGATGGCGCCACAAGACAAGATTACTATGCGCCAACCTAACCTCAAATGCCACATGGCAAGAGACAAAGGCAATGTCACTAGACACTTCTTTAACGATATTTAATCAACTACCGATAATAGGCATTATTTATATGTCTCTATTAACACAATCAAATCACTTCTTGTTAGTTTCCACACCACGACACTTCAATAAGTCAGATTATCCTCAGAATCTCAAAATCTCACAAGTGCTCAGAGTGCCACGTGGCGTGATGGCGCCACAAGACAATATCCCTAGGCGTCAACATAACCTCAAGTGCCACGTGGCAAAGACATAGGCAATGTCACTAAACACCTCTTTAACGATTTTGGATTAATTACCGATAATAGGCATTAATTGTATGTCTCTATTAGCACGGTCGAATCACTTCTTGCAAGCCAACGACAGGTTCACTACCTATTCTTCGCACATATCAGTGTTGAGGAGTATGGAGTGCCACGTCATCAATATGAGGTGGCAAGGCGAAGCCGCAGTTAAACCCTTATTTCTCGTGCAATCAGCGTCCCTCCGCAAAACCCGTATATTATGCACTTCACAGCACTTCCCTCTTTTAGGGCATAGCCTAAAAAAGACTCTCCGCGTCGCGAATTATCGAAGAAATTCACTTTAAAATTTCTCGGACACGCACCACGTCATGCTCCGTCCGGAGCCCCGAACCAACTCAACCTAACCTAACCTAACCTAACCTTTTTTTTTTTTTTTTTTTTTTTACATGGGGAAATGCATTGACGCATACCCCCCCCAAGGAGAGTAAGGGAGGGGTTATGTGGGACTCCGGGAACTAAGACGCCCCGACTACCCACTAAAACCCCATGGTGACCACCTCGCACGCACTCGGGGGGGCAACGGGATCGGACTTGCACGCGTCCGCGGCCCCCCCTGGTCGTGCTACGACCCCCCCCGTTGGATGGGGAGGGTCCCTCTGTGAGGGGTGAGGCAGGGTGCGTAGGCACCACACCCCCCTACAGGAAAATTGACGGTGAGACCGGGTCACCCTGTCTCACCGTCCTTCCGGGAAGGGGCTTGGTGTCGCGGGGGGAACTTCCGCGTTCTCCAGGCGCGAAAGACCCCCACGGCCCCTAGCCGAGGGACAATTGCGTCCCCCGGCCCGCCACTGGAGGAGGTGCAGGGATTAGGCTTCCCTGCTGGAGGTGCTACGGGCCTTGGCGATCATAGGCTCGCCGCCGTGCACCCCCCCTCCTCCGGCGGATTGGGTCAGCATCGGGATTGTCTTCCCTGACCCTCTCCGCGGCCTCCTTTTGTGAGATGACGTTCTCACAAAAGGAGACCATGGCGTCCCAGGCATCCTCGCTCTCGACCATCTTTGCTACGATGATCGGGAGCGAGAGATCGTCGCCCACCACCTGCCGCAAGTCGCGGCGTTCATCATCCCATGAGGGACACTCCTCTAGCGTATGCTGGGCTGTGTCCCTTTCCTCCTCGCAATGATGACAGCGCGTCGTCGGCTCGCGCCCCGCCTTCTCGTGCAGGTACTCACCGAAACATCCATGTCCGGTGAGCACCTGCACCGTCCTGAATGGGAGTCCTTTCGGCCGCCGATCCACCCATTCTTCTAATACTGGGCGGATGGCTCCGACAGCTCTGAGACCGACCCTGACGTGGGCCAGCCTCTCCTTCCATTTCTCTATCGCGAGCTGCCGGAACTGGGTCCTAGCAACTTCCTTTTCGCGCGGTGTCGGGGTTACTCCTTCCTGGCGGAGGGTAGTACGCCACTCATACATCGTGGCGTACGCCTCCGCTAACAGATCCCAAGGGATCGAACCCGACACCGCGAGCGCCGCCTCTGCGGGGGTGGTTTTGTACCCCCGCGTGATCCTAATGGCCAGCCGCCTTTGCAGGCTCTGCACCACTGCAAGGCTTTTGCGGCTGGCCGATAACTTCTGCGACCACACGGGGGCTCCATACAGGATCATGGATCCGACCACCCCCATGTATAGGCGGCGCACTCTATCCTGAGGTCCCCCTATGTTTGGCAGCAGGCTCCCGAAGGAGTTGACTGCTGCCTTGATGCGGGGGACCATACGCAGGAAGTGCTCCTCGAAGACCCAGTGGCGATCGAGGTGCAAACCCAGGTATTTGATACTGGGCCGCACCTCGATACGGACTCCCTCGACGGTAATGTGGGGCTGCGGTGGTGGCCTGTGCCGAGGCTGCTTGAAATACACAGCCTCGGTCTTGTTGAGGGCCACCGTCAGCCCCAAGGCGCGGATTCTGCCGACGACGTGCTGCACACCGACTCCTGCCAGGCGGCACGTGTCCTCCCAATCGTCCCCCCGGGCCATGACGAGCGTATCGTCAGCGTAGCACACTAGCTTTAGGCCCGGGAGGAGAGCGCCCCGGAGTACGCTGTTGTAACCGAGGTTCCACAATATGGGGCCAAGAACCGACCCCTGTGGAACCCCACAGCGTACCTCCCTCCGCATCGGTACCCTGTACCGTGCCCGATATGCCCTGTCACGCAGGTAGTCGCGGATGACTTCCTGCATATAGGGCGGCACTCGATGGTACTCGAGCGCGCGCCCTATACACTCCCAGGGTAAGGAGTTGAAGGCGTTGGCAATGTCTAGTGAGACGGCCAACGCCACTCCACCCCGGGAGACAGCCTCATCCGAGAAGGCCTTGACGCTCTTGATGGCGTCAATCGTCGAACGGCCTTCTCGGAATCCGAACTGGCAGTCGGCCAAGTCCGGACCAGCTGTTGACAGGTGCCAGTTGAGGCGGGCGACGAGCACGCGCTCGAAGAGCTTGCCCGCCTCGTCCAACAGGCATATCGGGCGGTACGCGGAGGGTGACTCCGGGGGACGCCCTTCCTTCCGTAGGAGGACAAGTGCCGCCTCCTTCCATTGGGGGGGAAATTGCCCCGCTCTGAGGCAGGCCGTAAATAGCCTCCTCAGGCGGTCCCCGAGGACGCCAAGGGCCAGGACCCAGGCTCGGCCAGGGATACCGTCAGGCCCCGGGGCGGTGTTTTTTTGCCCGAAGCCTACGGATTGCCCTGGCCAGCTCCTCCTCTGTTACCCCCAAGTCGTCGGTCCACGGTGTTCTGTGGACCGGTTGTCCTGGAGGTATCATCGCCCCTCCCCCAACGTGGGGGAATAGGGCGGACACCACGTCCTCCAGGACTTGGGGGTGGAGACTCTCCGTAATTGGGGGGCCCCCTGACCGCAGTTTCTTTCTGACGATCAGGTAGGGACGCCCCCATGGATCCTCATTGAGAGTCTCCAGGAGCTCTGCCCAGGCCTTGTCTTTGGCCCTTTTGATGGCGCGCTGCAGCTGCTTGTTAGCTTCTCTGTAAACAGCGTACAGCGCAGCCGCTTCGGCCTCCGTGTGCCGCCTGCGACGACATCTGGTATACTGGTGGCGTTTTCTTACGCAATCAGCGCGTAAGTGCGCGATTTCTTGTGACCACCAGTACACCGCCTTCCTCTGAGGGAGGGCCCGGATCCGGGGCATGGCCACGTCGCAGACTTGCGTCATGGCTTCCCGAAACCAGGTTACCTCCCTCTCAATGTCGCAGGCGTCAGGCTCTGGTATAGGCTCCAGAGACTTTGCCGAAGCGGCAGCCATCAAGGCGTCCTCTGCTAGGCGTTTGAGTGCCCAGCGGGGGGGTGGGGTTGCGCCTCCACGTCCAGGGGGAGCGGCTGGTGTCCCAGGGCCGGGTCGGAGATATTCCACCGTATATATCGGTGGTCCGATAACGTCTCCGACCCCTCCATGACCCTCCAGCCGCTGACCATGCGTGCGACCGGCGGGCTGCCGAATGTAATATCGACGATCGACCCGCCGTTGTGCCGCACGCAGGTGTGAGCTGAGCCTCTATTGAGAATTACGAGGCCCAGCTCATTCCCCCATTCCGCGAGGTCCAGGCCGCGGGCGTCGGTCACGGGGGAACCCCATTCCGCCGACTTGGCATTGAGGTCCCCCGCTACTAACACTGGACCGGGTAGCTGGCGACGTATAGCTGTCGCCACCCGGTCCAGGTATGCCCGGAATTCGGCCTGGTCGCGGTTAGGCGAAAAATATACCCCCACCACGGCAATTTCCCCCCATTGTGCGGCCACGTAGCCGCCTCCCCTGCCTATTAAGGTCAGGGGGATGGCATCTGCCGTGCCTCTTCCAATGATTGCGACCGAACCGTCCGCATCGCCGATCCAGTTGGATTTCGCGGGGACACGGTACGGTTCGGCCGCAACTGCCAGGTCTATATTCCACTCCGCCAGGGTTTGGAGTAATAAGTCCTGTGCCCTGGCGGAGTGATTCAAGTTTGCTTGTAGGAGGCGATGGTTTTCAATCATCTTACACGATTTCCATCGCCTCCTCTTGGCTTACTGCCGGGCCTGTGACGGGCTCCGGGGCAGGAGGGGCCTGTTCCGAAATCGGCGGAGTGACCCCCCTGTCCTGTGTTCCCTCGGCGGGGAGGAGAGGAAGGGCTGATTTTGCCCCCTGCTCCCCCTTGTTCTTCTTCTTGGCTTCCTTCTTTTTTGGCCGGAGGGAGGCACATGCCTTCCCCCCGTACCTATGATCCGCCTTGTGCCCCTCAGCTGCGCAGTAAGCGCAATGGGGATTGGTGGCGGTGCATCCGGCCGCTAAGTGTCCAGGCTTTCCGCAGCGGTAACAGAGTCCGCTGCGGTCGACACCGGCCTTGCAATGTGCCCTCGAGTGTCCCGCTCCCAAGCATGTGTAGCACTGCAGGGGGCGGGGGGGGAGGGCTTCGACGCGGGCTCTAATCCATCCAATGGACAGGGGGCCCGCATCGACTACTTTTTTGGCGGCGACTGCTGGAGCTCGGGCCCAGACTGACCCGAGCCTGCCCGCGGGGGAAAGGTTGATCTTCCCGACCGTAATGACTCCCGCGGAGCAATCGCCAGCCGCAGCAAGAGCCTGCCGCACTTCTTCGGGGGCTATTGAATCATCCAGTCCGGTGACACGGAGTTCTTCAAACTTCACCGGACGGGTGACCCTCACCCCCTTGGGCTCGAGAAGAGGCCTTAACGCTTCTGCGAGCTTGTCGGCCTTGATGCCGCTTTCCTCCCCGGGGACTTCAAACAAAATGCCCCCCCCGGCGGCCTTTTTGGGTTTGAGGGAGACGATGCCGAGCTCATTGAGCTTAATATGGGGACGTACCCCGGCTATCGCCTCCCCCAAGGCCGCGGGCTTCTCGCTCCCCCTTGAAGGGGCCGCACTTATAAGTACGGCCGCTAGTTTTGGGGGGCGGATCTTGCGGGGCTTGGTGGATTGGGCTCTGGGTGTTGCACCCTTTCCATCAGCTCCTTTGACTAAGGTATTTCCCCCCTTCTTGGTCCCCTTCTTGGAGGGCTGACCCCCCTTAGGGGCAGCAGCCGGGGCCGGTGTTTTGGCCCCCCCTTTGGCTGTTGTCGCCGGCTTACCCGCGCGGCCGATTTTCGTCCATTCGGACGTTTTATTGTTCGCATTCGCGGGCCCGGTTGCCTGGTCAGATCTGGCGGTCGGAGAAACCTTGACCTGCTTATTCCCGCCTGACTTTTTCCCACTCTTGGTGGGGATAGGTGGCGGGGGAGCGGTGGGGGTCTTTGCCCCTTTTCCTCCCACTCTCCTCTCTCCAGCCCCTTTACGAGGGGCAGCAGCGGCCACTTGGGCAAAGGATGGTGTGCTGCCTGCCGCTGCAGCTTTCTTCTCCGCCTGCAAAGCAGGCCTCAATCTTTCGGGGGGAAGGCGCTGCTCAATGACCGCGAGTCTCGAGTCCACGTATTTGAATATACGACTCGAGATTGCCTCGACCATAGCCCCCATACCCTCGTTGAGGTCCTCGGCTCCCCCCTTGTGCCTCTTCCTGGCCTCTAGAACAGAGGACGGGGGGAGAGCGATTCTCGTTCATCTCCCCGATGGCGCTAGCTTCGCGCCGTGGTAACGAGGGGAAGATCTCCGACATCTCTTCCTCCAGCGGTGTTGTGCCGGTTTGTGGAACGGTTATGCCGGCCACTTGTTTCCGCAGCTCCTCCATCTGCCTCTTCATTTCCGCCATTTCAGCGGTAAGGCGGTTGTTCGCCTCTAAAAGGCGACGATTTTCATCGTTTTGGGTGCGGCCCATGAGTTCTTTACTCGCCGCACTCACGACCAAGGCCGCCTCCTTCAAGATCTTGATTGAGGTGCCTTTATACCCCTTTTTGTAGGAGGCGACCGTGTTCATAGCCTCTACGACCCCGCGGATTTGCTGCCCCAAGTCCGCAGCCGTGAGAGTGGACGGGTCCGCGGGTGTGTTGGACCCGTCTTCTGCCGGCATCTCCGCCCCTAGCAAGATCCTCCTCGAACGGGTGATGGACGGCTGCGTCCATTGATCGAAGAGTTCTCGTTCCGCCCGAAGGAGGAGCTCCTCCTGCTCCACCCGGAGCAACTCTTTTTTCGCTTTCGCTAGGCCGACATATTGCCCGGTTGTTGGGCGTCTTCCCTCTGCCTCGGCTTTCCGACCCTGCCCGGGACAGGGATGACGCAGCCGAGGCAATCGAGACAATCCGACGCATCGGAGTCGTAGTTCGATTCCCTAGGGCGCTTACGTGGTTTGCCGCCTTCTGATGCGTCGACGTCCATGTTCGAGTACATGGACGCCACGGATGCCCGCTCCCTTTCCTATCCCCGAGCTTGCTACTTGCAGGCCCTGGAGTGTCTTAATGGGGGGGTCGGGGGGCGTTGAAGCGCTTCCCATCTCTCCTCCTTCCTCTCCACGGGCCCCATGATGCGCTCATTGGACTCGTCCGCCGAGCCGATTCAGACCGCTCCTCGTGGCGCGGCTTGATTGGCTGCGCGTGCTGCTACGAAGGCTGGAGCTACGTACCAGCTTCGTTCCGGCAGACTTCTGTTGTGAGGCCTCAAGGCCTCTCTCCTCCGCATCTCGCGAAGGTGTAGGACGTTGGTCCTCCTCCCCGACTCTGTCAATTTTTATTAATTTTATATATGGGTAACTCATTTTTGGTTTAATCCCACGTTCCCCCTGCAGCTCCCTCAACCGGGTATACCCTCACCCCGCCGAAAGTGTCCCGAAACATGACCGGCAACACTCCCGACGGAGGGCCCCAAGTTCCCCCGGGGGTCGAGATACACCTCTGGCCGGCGGCCAAAGGAGCACCGGCACAGGTCCCAGCCCCTTACTCACCCATGAGGGGTTTGACTCCCCCATGGGCTTTCAGGGGTTCCGCGTCTCCGACCACGCGGATACTGCAGGGGGCGGCGCCACCCGGGGGGCCCCACGGACGGTTGGGACGGGGCAGCCGCTCCCCTACCCCGCCTTACCCGCCGTGGCGACCAGCACGCCCCCACACCGGACTGGCCGGATCTGGGGGCAAGCGCCGTCCCGGTGGTTGCCGCTTCGGAAGGGGAAACGGTCGCGGACAACCACCGGGTATCCAAACTCTCGCCGCCAGACCCCGGCTCGGAATACGTCCGAGCGGCTCTGGGGCTGGCAGCGGCGGGGACCACACGGGGAAGACCCCCGTTGGGACACCCAACCGCTGCATCCTCCGTCGCACCGACCCCGCCTCGGAAACATCCGAGCGCTCGGTGCGACCCCGGGCCGGCAGTCCGGAGAAGTCCGGTCACCCGATATCTCCGGGTGAGTCATCTGCCGACCCGTCCCCTCCTCCTACTTGGCGCGTATCCCGGGTCACACCCGGCCGTTTGCCAAGCGGTGGGAGGCGACTACCCCCTTGCGGGACGCCGCTTCCACCCTTCACCGAAGGGCCACCCAAACTCGGATGACACCCCTGATCGGAGTGGACCGGCCACCGCATCCCCCAGGGGTCACGGGCTAGCCCGAGACCCCTTTTTGTGGGACGCCAAGGCACCCATGCCAGGACGCGCATCCCCCCAGGATTGCGAGGAAGATGCCGCCCCCAGACACAAGGCACCCCGGCACCACATCCCCCGAGGGACGCTACGTGGCAGGAGCACCCACCACGCAGCACCCTCCAACGACCCCATGCGGGAGCACCCGCAAAGTGCACGGAGGGAGGATAGAAATCCTCCCCTAACGGTCCGTGCAGCCGGCGATTGAAGTAGGGCCGCCAACCCCTATGCGCATCAGGCCAAGGTGCCCGGAGGGAGCGCAACCCCCCTTCTCGTGATGTCCGCCCACGACGACTTCGGATACTACATACTCGCTACTCACGGCCCGAGGACCGTTTCGTTTTCGTTTTCATCCGAAGCCGCGCCTACAACGAACACCACGAGGAAGTGCAATGGTGCGCTCTTAACCCTCAACCCGAAGGAAGAGGGGAGCTCCTCCACCACGACAAGGTGGCGCACCATCGGAGGAGTGCACCCTTCAAAGAGGGCCGAAAACGGGTCCGGATCGGCTACGGGTCCCCTCGGAGACCACGNATCCGGCTAGTTATAAATCTATACTGTACTATATATTTAGCTACACATACTATAGATCCCCGCTAGGGGAAATCCCTAGCCCTAGAGAATATTAGTTATCTGGTGATATCTACTTAAGCCGCGTTCATAGCCCGGCGTGTCCATAGCTTACGGTCTCCCATAACCTCTACCTGCTTTAATATAATGGGCGGTTATCGTATCCATACAAAACTGGAAAAAACTCTTTCGCTCTTGCGCACAGCTGACACCTTCACTTCTACCAAGGGTTTTCAACACATTGTCACTTTCTGTTTGAAATGAGATTATGTACGGCCTCCTTCAGGCGGAGAACTAACTATATTTTTGTTGTTGTTTAGATTTTCACCACTCGATGATTCGAGCCTCACATCAAATTGCCACGTAGTAACGACACAAACGTATGTCACTAAGCACAAACTATAACTTCACAGCAAATTTTCTCCTCCTGTCACTTTGGCCCAAATTGAGGTTATGTGGGCCCCTCTTGCTTTCAGGAGGCTAACTAAGGTTTGCTGTTTTCAGTATTTTGCCACCACTAGCAGATCTCGATAAGAACAATTTACACGTCCGAAGCCACTTGTTAATTCACAAGCCGAACTAATTATAGGTTTGTTGTTTTTCAGAGTTTCACTACCCCTAAAAAATCTAAATAGTTCACCAATAGTTTGCCCTCTGATTCACACTCTCCAGTTTCAAATTGTTTAGAATCAAGTACTATGAAAAGTTACTATAGTTTGGTAATTTTTCTAAAACGATATATCGATACCTCGATAATACGAGTCGTACATCAAGTGCCAGGTGCCACGAGGCAGACACGGCCAATGTCACCGGACACTTCTTTACGTATATAACAAAATATAGCTAATAACTAACTGTTTATTAACCTCAATTTTAATTAACTATTCCGGTTCAACACCACAACACATCAATAAGTCAGTTTATCATTTAAATCTCACAAATGTCTTGAGTGACACGCAGCGTGGTGGCGCCACAAGACAATATCCTAGGCGTCAACCTAACCTCAAATGCCACACAGCAGAGACAAAGAGATGTCACTAGGCACTTCTTTAACAATATTTAACTAATTACCGAAAATCGGCATTATTTATATGTCTCTATTAACACAATCGAATCACTTCTTGTTAATTTCCACACCACGACACTTAATAAGTCAGTATATCATCAGAATCTCAAAATCTCACAATCTCACAAGAGTTTAGAGTGCCGCGTGGCGTGGTGGCGCCACAAGACAAAATTTACTAGGCGTCAACCTAACCTCAAATGTCACCCGGCTGAGCCAAGGCAATGTCACTAGACGCTTCTTTAACGATATTTAGTTAATTACCGATAATAAGTATTATTTATATGTTTCTATTAACGCAATCGAATCACCCCTTGTTAGTTTCCACACCACGCCACTTCAATAAGTCAATTTATCATCAAAATCTCAAAATCTCAAAATCTCAAGTGTTTAGAGTGCCACGTGGCGTGGTGGCGCCACAAGACGATATCCCTAGTCGCCAACCTAACCTCAAGTGCCACGCGGCAAAGACATAGACAATGTCACTAAACACTTCTTTAATGATTTTTGATTAATTACAGATAATAGGCATTAATTGTATGTCCCTATTAGCACAGTCGAATCCTTTTTATTAATTTCCACACCACGACACTTCAATAAGACAGTTTACCATCAAAATTTCAAAATCTCACAAGAGTCTAAAGTGCCACGTGGCGTGATGGCGCCAAAGACAAGATTACTATGCGCCAACCTAACTCAAATGCCACATGGCAAGAGACAAAGGCAATGTCACTAGACACTTCTTTAACGATATTTAATCAACTACCGATAATAGGCATTATTTATATGTCTCTATTAACACAATCAAATCACTTCTTGTTAGTTTCCACACCACGACACTTCAATAAGTCAGTTTATCCTCAGAATCTCAAAATCTCACAAGTGCTCAGAGTGCCACGTGGCGTGATGGCCGCCACAAGACAATATCCCTAGGGCGTCAACATAACCTCAAAGTGCCACGTGGCAAAGACATAGGCAATGTCACTAAACACCTCTTTAACGATTTTGGATTAATTACCGATAATAGGCATTAATTGTATGTCTCTATTAGCACGGTCGAATCACTTCTTGCAAGCCAACGACAGGTTCACTACCTATTCTTTTTCGCACATATCAGTGTTGAGGAGTATGGAGTGCCACGTCATCAATATGAGGTGGCAAGGCGAAGCCGCAGTTAAACCCTTATTTCTCGTGCAATCAGCGTCCCTCCGCAAAACCCGTATATTATGCACTTCACAGCACTTCCCTCTTTAGGGCATAGCCTAAAAAAAAGACTCTCCGCGTCGCGAATTATCGAAGAAATTCACTTTAAAAATTTCTCGGACACGCACCACGTCATGCTCCGTCCGGAGCCCCGAACCAACTCAACCTAACCTAACCTAACCTAACCTTTTTTTTTTTTTTTTTTTTTTACATGGGGAAATGCATTGACGCATACCCCCCCAAGGAGAGTAAGGGAGGGGTTATGTGGGACTCCGGGAACTAAGACGCCCCGACTACCCACTAAAACCCCATGGTGACCACCTCGCACGCACTCGGGGGGGCAACGGGATCGGACTTGCACGCGTCCGCGGCCCCCCCTGGTCGTGCTACGACCCCCCCCGTTGGATGGGGAGGGTCCCTCTGTGAGGGGTGGGGCAGGGTGCGTAGGCACCACACCCCCCTACAGGAAAATTGACGGTGAGACCGGGTCACCCTGTCTCACCGTCCTTCCGGGAAGGGCTTGGTGTCGCGGGGGGAACTTCCGCGTTCTCCAGGCGCGAAAGACCCCCACGGCCCCTAGCCGAGGGACAATTGCGTCCCCCGGCCCGCCACTGGAGGAGGTGCAGGGATTAGGCTTCCCTGCTGGAGGTGCTACGGGCCTTGGCGATCATAGGCTCGCCGCCGTGCACCCCCCCTCCTCCGGCGGATTGGGTCAGCATCGGGATTGTCTTCCCTGACCCTCTCCGCGGCCTCCTTTTGTGAGATGACGTTCTCACAAAAGGAGACCATGGCGTCCCAGGCATCCTCGCTCTCGACCATCTTTGCTACGATGATCGGGAGCGAGAGATCGTCGCCCACCACCTGCCGCAAGTCGCGGCGTTCATCATCCCATGAGGGACACTCCTCTAGCGTATGCTGGGCTGTGTCCCTTTCCTCCTCGCAATGATGACAGCGCGTCGTCGGCTCGCGCCCCGCCTTCTCGTGCAGGTACTCACCGAAACATCCATGTCCGGTGAGCACCTGCACCGTCCTGAATGGGAGTCCTTTCGGCCGCCGATCCACCCATTCTTCTAATACTGGGCGGATGGCTCCGACAGCTCTGAGACCGACCCTGACGTGGGCCAGCCTCTCCTTCCATTTCTCTATCGCGAGCTGCCGGAACTGGGTCCTAGCAACTTCCTTTTCGCGCGGTGTCGGGGTTACTCCTTCCTGGCGGAGGGTAGTACGCCACTCATACATCGTGGCGTACGCCTCCGCTAACAGATCCCAAGGGATCGAACCCGACACCGCGAGCGCCGCCTCTGCGGGGGTGGTTTTGTACCCCCGCGTGATCCTAATGGCCAGCCGCCTTTGCAGGCTCTGCACCACTGCAAGGCTTTTGCGGCTGGCCGATAACTTCTGCGACCACACGGGGGCTCCATACAGGATCATGGATCCGACCACCCCCATGTATAGGCGGCGCACTCTATCCTGAGGTCCCCCTATGTTTGGCAGCAGGCTCCCGAAGGAGTTGACTGCTGCCTTGATGCGGGGGACCATACGCAGGAAGTGCTCCTCGAAGACCCAGTGGCGATCGAGGTGCAAACCCAGGTATTTGATACTGGGCCGCACCTCGATACGGACTCCCTCGACGGTAATGTGGGGCTGCGGTGGTGGCCTGTGCCGAGGCTGCTTGAAATACACAGCCTCGGTCTTGTTGAGGGCCACCGTCAGCCCCAAGGCGCGGATTCTGCCGACGACGTGCTGCACACCGACTCCTGCCAGGCGGCACGTGTCCTCCCAATCGTCCCCCCGGGCCATGACGAGCGTATCGTCAGCGTAGCACACTAGCTTTAGGCCCGGGAGGAGAGCGCCCCGGAGTACGCTGTTGTAACCGAGGTTCCACAATATGGGGCCAAGAACCGACCCCTGTGGAACCCCACAGCGTACCTCCCTCCGCATCGGTACCCTGTACCGTGCCCGATATGCGACGGCCCTGTCACGCAGGTAGTCGCGGATGACTTCCTGCATATAGGGCGGCACTCGATGGTACTCGAGCGCGCGCCCTATACACTCCCAGGGTAAGGAGTTGAAGGCGTTGGCAATGTCTAGTGAGACGGCCAACGCCACTCCACCCCGGGAGACAGCCTCATCCGAGAAGGCCTTGACGCTCTTGATGGCGTCAATCGTCGAACGGCCTTCTCGGAATCCGAACTGGCAGTCGGCCAAGTCCGGACCAGCTGTTGACAGGTGCCAGTTGAGGCGGGCGACGAGCACGCGCTCGAAGAGCTTGCCCGCCTCGTCCAACAGGCATATCGGGCGGTACGCGGAGGGTGACTCCGGGGGACGCCCTTCCTTCCGTAGGAGGACAAGTGCCGCCTCCTTCCATTGGGGGGGAAATTGCCCCGCTCTGAGGCAGGCCGTAAATAGCCTCCTCAGGCGGTCCCCGAGGACGCCAAGGGCCAGGACCCAGGCTCGGCCAGGGATACCGTCAGGCCCCGGGGCGGTGTTTTTTGCCCGAAGCCTACGGATTGCCCTGGCCAGCTCCTCCTCTGTTACCCCCAAGTCGTCGGTCCACGGTGTTCTGTGGACCGGTTGTCCTGGAGGTATCATCGCCCCTCCCCCAACGTGGGGGAATAGGGCGGACACCACGTCCTCCAGGACTTGGGGGTGGAGACTCTCCGTAATTGGGGGCCCCCTGACCGCAGTTTCTTTCTGACGATCAGGTAGGGACGCCCCCATGGATCCTCATTGAGAGTCTCCAGGAGCTCTGCCCAGGCCTTGTCTTTGGCCCTTTTGATGGCGCGCTGCAGCTGCTTGTTAGCTTCTCTGTAAACAGCGTACAGCGCAGCCGCTTCGGCCTCCGTGTGCCGCCTGCGACGACATCTGGTATACTGGTGGCGTTTTCTTACGCAATCAGCGCGTAAGTGCGCGATTTCTTGTGACCACCAGTACACCGCCTTCCTCTGAGGGAGGGCCCGGATCCGGGGCATGGCCACGTCGCAGACTTGCGTCATGGCTTCCCGAAACCAGGTTACCTCCCTCTCAATGTCGCAGGCGTCAGGCTCTGGTATAGGCTCCAGAGACTTTGCCGAAGCGGCAGCCATCAAGGCGTCCTCTGCTAGGCGTTTGAGTGCCCAGCGGGGGGGTGGGGTTGCGCCTCCACGTCCAGGGGGGAGCGGCTGGTGTCCCAGGGCCGGGTCGGAGATATTCCACCGTATATATCGGTGGTCCGATAACGTCTCCGACCCCTCCATGACCCTCCAGCCGCTGACCATGCGTGCGACCGGCGGGCTGCCGAATGTAATATCGACGATCGACCCGCCGTTGTGCCGCACGCAGGTGTGAGCTGAGCCTCTATTGAGAATTACGAGGCCCAGCTCATTCCCCCATTCCGCGAGGTCCAGGCCGCGGGCGTCGGTCACGGGGGAACCCCATTCCGCCGACTTGGCATTGAGGTCCCCCGCTACTAACACTGGACCGGGTAGCTGGCGACGTATAGCTGTCGCCACCCGGTCCAGGTATGCCCGGAATTCGGCCTGGTCGCGGTTAGGCGAAAAATATACCCCCACCACGGCAATTTCCCCCCATTGTGCGGCCACGTAGCCGCCTCCCCTGCCTATTAAGGTCAGGGGGATGGCATCTGCCGTGCCTCTTCCAATGATTGCGACCGAACCGTCCGCATCGCCGATCCAGTTGGATTTCGCGGGGACACGGTACGGTTCGGCCGCAACTGCCAGGTCTATATTCCACTCCGCCAGGGTTTGGAGTAATAAGTCCTGTGCCCTGGCGGAGTGATTCAAGTTTGCTTGTAGGAGGCGATGGTTTTCAATCATCTTACACGATTTCCATCGCCTCCTCTTGGCTTACTGCCGGGCCTGTGACGGGCTCCGGGGCAGGAGGGGCCTGTTCCGAAATCGGCGGAGTGACCCCCCTGTCCTGTGTTCCCTCGGCGGGGAGGAGAGGAAGGGCTGATTTTGCCCCCTGCTCCCCCTTGTTCTTCTTCTTGGCTTCCTTCTTTTTTGGCCGGAGGGAGGCACATGCCTTCCCCCCGTACCTATGATCCGCCTTGTGCCCCTCAGCTGCGCAGTAAGCGCAATGGGGATTGGTGGCGGTGCATCCGGCCGCTAAGTGTCCAGGCTTTCCGCAGCGGTAACAGAGTCCGCTGCGGTCGACACCGGCCTTGCAATGTGCCCTCGAGTGTCCCGCTCCCAAGCATGTGTAGCACTGCAGGGGGCGGGGGGGGAGGGCTTCGACGCGGGCTCTAATCCATCCAATGGACAGGGGGCCCGCATCGACTACTTTTTTGGCGGCGACTGCTGGAGCTCGGGCCCAGACTGACCCGAGCCTGCCCGCGGGGGAAAGGTTGATCTTCCCGACCGTAATGACTCCCGCGGAGCAATCGCCAGCCGCAGCAAGAGCCTGCCGCACTTCTTCGGGGGCTATTGAATCATCCAGTCCGGTGACACGGAGTTCTTCAAACTTCACCGGACGGGTGACCCTCACCCCCTTGGGCTCGAGAAGAGGCCTTAACGCTTCTGCGAGCTTGTCGGCCTTGATGCCGCTTTCCTCCCCGGGGACTTCAAACAAAATGCCCCCCCCGGCGGCCTTTTTGGGTTTGAGGGAGACGATGCCGAGCTCATTGAGCTTAATATGGGGACGTACCCCGGCTATCGCCTCCCCCAAGGCCGCGGGCTTCTCGCTCCCCCTTGAAGGGGCCGCACTTATAAGTACGGCCGCTAGTTTTGGGGGGCGGATCTTGCGGGGCTTGGTGGATTGGGCTCTGGGTGTTGCACCCTTTCCATCAGCTCCTTTGACTAAGGTATTTCCCCCCTTCTTGGTCCCCTTCTTGGAGGGCTGACCCCCCTTAGGGGCAGCAGCCGGGGCCGGTGTTTTGGCCCCCCCTTTGGCTGTTGTCGCCGGCTTACCCGCGCGGCCGATTTTCGTCCATTCGGACGTTTTATTGTTCGCATTCGCGGGCCCGGTTGTCTGGTCAGATCTGGCGGTCGGAGAAACCTTGACCTGCTTATTCCCGCCTGACTTTTTCCCACTCTTGGTGGGGATAGGTGGCGGGGGAGCGGTGGGGGTCTTTGCCCCTTTTCCTCCCACTCTCCTCTCTCCAGCCCCTTTACGAGGGGCAGCAGCGGCCACTTGGGCAAAGGATGGTGTGCTGCCTGCCGCTGCAGCTTTCTTCTCCGCCTGCAAAGCAGGCCTCAATCTTTCGGGGGGAAGGCGCTGCTCAATGACCGCGAGTCTCGAGTCCACGTATTTGAATATACGACTCGAGATTGCCTCGACCATAGCCCCCATACCCTCGTTGAGGTCCTCGGCTCCCCCCTTGTGCCTCTTCCTGGCCTCTAGAACAGAGGACGGGGGAGAGCGATTCTCGTTCATCTCCCCGATGGCGCTAGCTTCGCGCCGTGGTAACGAGGGGAAGATCTCCGACATCTCTTCCTCCAGCGGTGTTGTGCCGGTTTGTGGAACGGTTATGCCGGCCACTTGTTTCCGCAGCTCCTCCATCTGCCTCTTCATTTCCGCCATTTCAGCGGTAAGGCGGTTGTTCGCCTCTAAAAGGCGACGATTTTCATCGCTTTGGGTGCGGCCCATGAGTTCTTTACTCGCCGCACTCACGACCAAGGCCGCCTCCTTCAAGATCTTGATTGAGGTGCCTTTATACCCCTTTTTGTAGGAGGCGACCGTGTTCATAGCCTCTACGACCCCGCGGATTTGCTGCCCCAAGTCCGCAGCCGTGAGAGTGGACGGGTCCGCGGGTGTGTTGGACCCGTCTTCTGCCGGCATCTCCGCCCCTAGCAAGATCCTCCTCGAACGGGTGATGGACGGCTGCGTCCATTGATCGAAGAGTTCTCGTTCCGCCCGAAGGAGGAGCTCCTCCTGCTCCACCCGGAGCAACTCTTTTTTCGCTTTCGCTAGGCCGACATATTGCCCGGTTGTTGGGCGTCTTCCTCTGCCTCGGCTTTCCGACCCTGCCCGGGACAGGGATGACGCAGCCGAGGCAATCGAGACATCCGACGCATCGGAGTCGTAGTTCGATTCCCTAGGGCGCTTACGTGGTTTGCCGCCTTCTGATGCGTCGACGTCCATGTTCGAGTACATGGACGCCACGGATGCCCCGCTCCCTTTCCTATCCCCGAGCTTGCTACTTGCAGGCCCTGGGAGTGTCTTAATGGGGGGGTCGGGGGGCGTTGAAGCGCTTCCCATCTCTCCCTCCTTCCTCTCCACGGGCCCCATGATGCGCTCATTGGACTCGTCCGCCGAGCCGTATTCAGACCCGCTCCTCGTGGCGCGGCTTGATTGGCTGCGCGTGCTGCTACGAAGGCTGGAGCTACGTACCAGCTTCGTTCCGGCAGACTTCTGTTGTGAGGCCTCAAGGCCTCTCTCCTCCGCATCTCGCGAAGGTGTAGGACGTTGGTCCTCCTCCCCGACTCTGTCAATTTTTATTAATTTTATATATGGGTAACTCATTTTTGGTTTAATCCCACGTTCCCCCTGCAGCTCCCTCAACCGGGTATACCCTCACCCCCGCCGAAAGTGTCCCGAAACATGACCGGCAACACTCCCGACGGAGGGCCCCAAGTTCCCCCGGGGGGTCGAGATACACCTCTGGCCGGCGGCCAAAGGCAGCACCGGCACAGGGTCCCAGCCCCTTACTCACCCATGAGGGGTTTGACTCCCCCATGGGCTTTCAGGGGTTCCGCGTCTCCGACCACGCGGATACTGCAGGGGGCGGCGCCACCCGGGGGGCCCCACGGACGGTTGGGACGGGGCAGCCGCTCCCCTACCCCGCCTTACCCGCCGTGGCGACCAGCACGCCCCCACACCGGACTGGCCGGATCTGGGGGGCAAGCGCCGTCCCGGTGGTTGCCGCTTCGGAAGGGGAAACGGTCGCGGACAACCACCGGGTATCCAAACTCTCGCCGCCAGACCCCGGCCTCGGAATACGTCCGAGCGGCTCTGGCGGCTGGCAGCGGCGGGGGACCACCAACGGGGAAGACCCCCCGTTGGGGACACCCAACCGCTGCATCCTCCGTCGCACCGACCCCGCCTCGGAAACATCCGAGCGGCTCGGTGCGACCCGGGCCGGCAGTCCGGAGAAGTCCGGTCACCCGGATATCTCCGGGTGAGTCATCTGCCGACCCGTCCCCTCCTCCTACTTGGCGCGTATCCCGGGGTCACACCCCGGGCCGTTTGCCAAGCGGTGGGAGGCGACTACCCCCTTGCGGGACGCCGCTTCCACCCTTCACCGAAGGGCCACCCAAACTCGGATGACACCCCTGATCGGAGTGGACCGGCCACCGCATCCCCCCCAGGGGTCACGGGCTAGCCCCGAGACCCCTTTTTGTGGGACGCCAAAGGCACCCCATGCCAGGACGCGCATCCACCCCGCAGGATTGCGAGGAAGATGCCGCCCCCAGACACAAGGCACCCCGGCACCCACATCCCCCCGAGGGACGCTACGTGGCAGGAGCACCCACCACGCAGCACCCTCCAACGACCCCATGCGGGAGCACCCGCAAAGTGCACGGAGGGAGGATAGAAATCCTCCCCTAACGGTTCCGTGCAGCCGGGCGATTGAAGTCAGGGCCGCCAACCCCTATGCGCATCAGGCCAAGGTGCCCGGAGGGAGCGCAACCCCCCTTCTCGTGATGTCCGCCCACGACGACTTCGGATTACTCACATACTCGCTACTCACGGCCCGAGGACCGCTTTCGTTTTCGTTTTCATCCGAAGCCGCCGCCTACAACGAACACCACGAGGAAGTGCAATGGTGCGCTCTTAGACCCCTCAACCCGAAGGAAGAGGGGAGCTCCTCCACCACGACAAGGTGGCGCACCATCGGAGGAGTGCACCCTTCAAAGAGGGCCGAAAACAGGGTCCGGATCGCTACGGGTCCCCTCGGAGACCACGCACGTCGGCCACCCTGCCCACTAGTTTTATTCCCCCTCTGCCGGGGGACCACCTCTGGTGGTGTCCCCCCAGGTGTCCAGCCACCCGGGGGGACCCAGATGATTCGCGTGTGCCTTCGCGTGTTTTAGAGTGGGGTAAGGCAGGCCCCCACTAGGTAGACTCCTGTGTTGAGAGATGTGCCTTCCTCTCGACCGAGCTCCCCTCATTTTAATGGAGGGGCCCACTCACCTAGGCAGAATCGGCAGAGAAGTATCTCGTCGACTACTACTCGGGGCGATGCCCTCCCCGGCGTTTGGTCGACGGTCCCGCTCGATCGCTAGGCCGGCACACCGCCCGTTCAGGCACTAACCATTTGACCGAGGTGATCACATTGGAGATACACCTCGGCACCGCATATGCCTCCGCGTTTTCCGGCTGGAGGAAGGCATACCCCACCTTGTGGATGAAAGGCTTGGGACCACCCAAGTCTGCTGATGTTCCCGGGTCCCACCGACCCTATCCGTATGAGCACCCAAGTACCCGCTGAGCCCAAGAACCGAAGTTCCCCGGTTCCACCGACCCTATCCGAATGGAGACCTACAGACCCAGCAAAGCACTAAAGGGACACCAGCAGACCATTACAATGGTCCCCTCACCCTCATCAACCCTTCCCGTGTCCCTGCATCCGCCTTTTTATACAGGAGGAATGCAGACTCCTGTTGAGATATGTCAGCCTCGGGGTCAGCGACCCGTCACTTGACATGTCTCGCCACTCGACGGCATCCGTGACTCGAAATAAGCGTGCATCCGATTTTTCCGGAGGGTGATGCACTAACCCTCGCTGCATCTCCTACCCGACGCGAGCTAACCTGAAAATAAACCCTGAAAAGAGAAAAAGAGTATTAGCTTAAAACTAACTTACAACTAACTTAAAATTAACTTAACACTAACTTAAACTAACTTAAAACTAACGAAAACAAAAAACGCTGAATTGATCTCATCGCAGATCAACCAGCACCGGACGCCTCCGTGTTTTTCAAAGATGGGGGAAGGCGCACCCCACTCTGTGGATGAAAGGCTCGGGAGCATCTGTCCGCTTCAGCTTCCTCGGGTTCCACCGACCCTATCCGAATGGAAACCCTATGACCCGCTTGAGCCCAGGAACCGAAGTTCCCCGGTCCCACCGACCCTATCCGAATGGGAACCTCCGGACCCAAGCGAGCCAGAAACCTTAGCGGAGGTTTCGATGCTCCCCTCACCCTCATCGACCCTTCCCGTGTCCCTGCATCCGCGTTATTAGACAGGAGGAATGCAGACTCCTGTTAGCCCCCGTGACTCGAAGTAAATGTGCATCCGAATTTCCGGAGGATGATGCACAACCCTCACCTCACCTCCCGCTTTCGCCGCGAAGGTGGGCATCCTACCCGCAACAAAAAGAGCTACCGCGAAAACGAAAACAAAAAACGCTAAGTTGATCTCATCGTAGATACAACCAGCACCGATCGCCTCCGTGTTTTTCAAAGATGGGGGAAGGCGCACCCCACTCTGTGGATGAAAGGCTCGGGAGCATCTGTCCGCCTCAGTTCCCCCGGGTTCCACCGACCCTATCCGAATGGAGACCCTGTGACCCACTTGAGCCCAGGAACCGAAGTTCCCTGGTCCCACCGACCCTATCCGAATGGGAACCTCAGGACCCAAGTGAGCCAGGAACCTTAGCGGAGGTTGCGATGCTCCCCTCACCCTCATCGACCCTTCCCGTGTCCCTGCATCCGCGTTATTAGACAGGAGGAATGCAGACTCCTGTTAGCCCCCGTGACTCGAAGTAAATGTGCATCCGGATTTCCGGAGGATGATGCACAACCCTCACCTCACCTCCCGCTTTCGCCGCGAAGGTGGGCCTCCTACCCGAAGTTTCTAAACCCGCCTCCCGGTAGAGGCGGCTTGTGCAGCAGTGTCCCAATCGAGATACCAATGTCTCGGTCGAGACACCACCGCACCCGGCTGCCTACGTTTATTTATACAGGGGTGGGCAGGCCCCCTGTCGCCGACGTGCAACGCCGACTCCTAACCCGTGTCCCCGCCTCCGCGTTTTTTATTTAAAGCGAGGGGAGGCGGACCCCCGCTTGCGGTATGTTGACCGGTGGATTCAAGTGGGTCTTCCACAGGAACCCATCACCCAACATAACCACGCCATACGGGCACACGTGACTCGAGTTAAATGTGCATCCGGTTTTCCGGAGGGTGATGCACCACCCCTCAACCTCATCTCCCGCTTGAAGAGCGGAAGATGGGCTTCCTACCCGGGAGAAGCTCCGCCTCCACGTGGAGACGGTGTTGTGCTGTGTTGTTTCCATCGGGAAACACTATCGTGCTTCGCGACGGAAGTCAACACTGCACCCGGCTGCCTTCGATTTTTTATACAAGGATGGGCAATCCCCCTGTTGCCGACGTGCGACGCCGGCTCCTTCCCGTGTCCCCGCCTCCGGATTTTTTATTTAAAGCGAGGGGAAGGCGGACCCTTCGCTTGCGGTATGTCAGCCTCCAGGTACCGTAAACACAGTACCCTTCACCTGACATAAGGACCGCTCCACTCGACGGTTCCCGAGACAACCTAACCTAACCTTTTTTTTTTTTTTTTTTTTTTTACAAGGGGAAATGCATTTACGCATCCCCCCGCCAAGTGGAATTGGCGGGGGGTATGCGGGACTCCGGGATAAATCCCGACTACCCGCTAAAACCCCTTGGTTGTCTCCTTCAGCGCACAGGGGGGAGGGCCACGAGAACGCTTGCGCATGCAGCCGCGACCCCCCCCCCAGGCACGCGGTGACCCCTCTCTCGTGAAAGAGAGAGGTCCCCTCCGTGTTGGGGCGTTGTATGCCCCAACGGGTGACAGGGCGAGTAACTTAACCCTGCCACCCCTCAACACACGTGAGCAGCACTCGGGGCCCCGGTTTCCACCCCGGGACCCCGCTGCCCTGTGGGCAGAGCGAGCAAGGGGGGAGGACAAGTCCCCCCCGATAAACACCCCCCCACGCCCAGAGGGCAAACCCCCCCGCCGCCCACCGCCGCAGACGGAGCGCGGCAAACCCGGGCCCGATGCCCCCGGGGGGGACCCATGGCCAGACGACGTCCTCAACATAATCCCCGGGTTCGTCCTGGGGCGCCCCAAGGTGGAAGGATTTACGGGGCGGCTACGGAAGCACGCACCCCAACCGCATCACCCGGGACTCGCCAAGGGACGACGGGGGCGGGGGAAGGCGACCTCCCGGACGCCGGAGCGTACCGGCAACCCCCGCTAATCCCGAAGCCCAAGGCTGGACTACTACCGGGGAATCGCCGCCCGTAGCGACCAATCGCCAGACCCCCGAAGACACCGGCCCCCGGCCCGCCACACACCGCCAACAACAGCAGGCGGCGGAAGGACTCGCCCTCACTCCGGCGACCAACGCTCGGATCTTCGAGCGTTGGCGCACTCTCCGTGCACGTGCACTCTGTGACCGGGCAAGTCCGTCGCGCATCCTCTTAACGCGGCCAAAGCCGCGGAGCCTCGTGAGCGATCGTCGCTCCTCCTTTTACGCGCGTAAACGGACAAGTCCGTCGCACGCCTTCACCTCGCAGCCGAAGCCGCGTGAGCGCTTGCACGCTCCCCTCCCGCGCGCGCTCTCCTCAAAGCAAGACCCCGAATAAATTCGGGGTCTGCTGCGCGCGCAATGGGCACTCTTAGTTCACCGATCCCGCCCCCCCAGGCCGGAACAGCAGCCAATGGCTAACTGAACCGCCCCAGGGGACCGGGACCGACTTAAGCTCCCCCACCACGTCAAGGTGGTGCCCACGGGGGAGAACCTTTTTTTTTTTTTTTTTTTTGATAGCCCAGGGGAAATCCTTGATGGATACCCGCAGTCCCCGGGGAGGGACCGCGGGTTATGTGGGACTCCCTCCCAGAAGGGGAGGTATACCCACTAAAACCCCTGGGGTGGCCATCCCGGCGGCAGGAGGAGGGGACAGAGACCCGGGACTCGCTATTGCAATACTTCGGATCTCTGCCCCCACGATTCCTCCCCCGCGGCGATCAGGAGGCGACGTCACGGGTGTTCGGTGACGCCGCCGCCCGATCCTCTTCCCGGGGGGGGCTCGATTGGCCCCCCATTCTCTCGCGCATACGCGGTTGCGGGTGGACAGGGCCACACTGCCCACCCGCGTCCCTCCCTCGGTGGTCAGGGGGGACAGGGTCGGGGTCCGAGTTCACCCGACTCGGGCCCCGGCCCCATTTGCCCCCGGACTGGTGCTCCCTCCGCCCCCCGTAGGGAAGCGGATTCGGCAGTCAGCCCGGGGGCCCACCACGAGGTTCGGGCAGGAGACAGAAGGTCCCCCGCCGTTATCCC